TAAGAAGTTCCTGTATGAAGTCAGCCTCATAATAATAAAGAAACAAGTCGGCAAGAAGAGGGGCATAATTGGTTCCCATTGGAATTCCGACAGTCTGTTGAAAAACACGTCCTCCAAACGTAACAAATATGTTGTCAATCAAGAAATCAAGCATCTTGATAATGTCAGTTTCAGAGAACTTTTTGTTTGAATCAGAGTGATTCTTCACAAAGTAGGATTTATCCCTCCCCAAGACAAGATACTTGTATCTACGTTCGCCATTCTTTTTAATGAAACAAAGTAATACCAACTCTTTCAATTTGTCTTTCAGTTTGGAATGGGGAAAACTTGTGTAAAGTGTAGAAAAGTCAAATGTTTTAATACTATTGCAAGATGAGATAGTCTTAGATTGTATGTACTCTAAAAGATCTTTGAATTTTTTTAGTATCCACATCTGATTCACGCCACCTCTAGAATAGGTAGTTTCACAATAACTTTGGAGCCCGGCTTTGATTGCTGATAAAATAGATGTTAATAATTTAGAAAGAGGTTTCGTGGAGCACTTGGAAGACCCAGCAATATACCGTTGTTTGTAAGGACACTTATGTAGTTTAGCAATCCAATACAGTGATGGAAGATCCAGTTCTTCGTCTTTGGTTGAAATTCCAAAGGAACATAGAACAGACCTATGATTATCCAGGATTTCCTCTTTGGTAAGTGTCGTGAGGGTATATGTTGAGTTTCCAAGTGAATTGTCAATACCTAATTCATTTTTCAAGCAGTTTATGTAATGATATTTACACACAAAAACAATGTTGTTTGGGGCTTTATCTGCAGGGACAACAACATATTTGTCATGGAGGTAGGACAAGTGTTTTGCAACATTTGGGTCTTTAAAATTGACGTAGCGTGGGTATTGATAGACCCATTTAATTTCTTAATTCGGATTTGTATCAACGACCTCACAGCCTTAATCCATTCGGAAAGAGTATCTACGTCTTCTTTCTCGCGTTTAGCCCATTGCCTGGCATACTCCTCGACTGAATCCATCAGTATTATGAAGTTGTATTTCCAATTGATGGATTTAGGCTCACGATATTTCGGACCTTTGGATAACAAATTTCGCAGAGAAGTGTTACATGTATTGACAATGTTGAGGTCTCCGGTTATAACGTGGCCAGCGGATCATGAGCTTGTGTTACACATGTGTCTGTGTCTGAGTGTTCAAATAAAATCTTTAATATTGAATCATATAATACCTGTATCTTGCATAAAAAGATATTTCTCAAAATTTATGATATTTAACAGAAAGTAAGTTTTTACTTGATTTTGTTTTAATTTCTTCATCTGGAATCAATTTGTAATTTCTTATTATATCATTATATCAAATCAGAGACATATATACACAGTGTATATATGTCTCTGATCAAATCTCATTGAAATCCTACATGCAGCAAAAGATTTGTTTCTCAAAATTTGGGAATTTTTATCAAAACGTTTTTTTACAGCAAATGTTACCCACAGATTATCACAAAAATCAATTTGTGTCATTTGGGAATCATTTCTTAATAGGATATGATAACTTATATGTCAATTTTTGATGAAATCATAGCAAAAAAGATGTTTCTCAAAATTTGTGATTTTAAACAAATCTAAGTTTTTCTGAGTGTCCAAATTTCACAAAAAAAAACGAAAGGAATTTTGATAGTCATTTACACTGTACATAAACATTTTGTGAATAAAACTACGACATAGAAGTGCCGACATGCAAACAGACGGACGAACAGACAGCGATAAAAATAGGGCACATACCGACTAATCGACAGGACCCTAATTATGACAAAATATCTACAGAAAAAGCAAGCATAAAAAATAAACAATTTCCTTATGAAATGTCATAATAAAAATGATTTATACTGCAACTAGCTGTGTTTATTTCCTATATGTAGTAATAAAGCTATATTGTGTGCAATGTCAATTTCATCATGGAACACTTTATGTGAATCAGGGGTTCATTTAGGGATTAAAATAAGTTTGAAATTTGCGCTACAATTTAAATAGCTATCAATGTATTCATTTAAGTTGCAGTATAAAAACAATATTAGGTCAATGTCAGAAAAATATAAACTTTTTTGTATTCGGCACAAAACAGTTTCTCAGCCTCATACAAAAAAGTTTATATTTTTCTGACATTGACCTAATATTGTATATATATATATATTTATATCTATTTTCTTAATTTTTTTGAACTTCTCGTGTGATTATTTTCGATCTGAAGACTGAAATTGGTATTTCTCTGCAGAGTACAGAGAAATCACGATGTTGTAATAAGCTAATTTCAATAACGTTGCATACGAAAATGTGACAAACAGATTATCTAATGTCTCAACTCGAGAAGGCTTCTAAGCTATATCTGATATCAGGGATAGCCCCCAATGAGATGGTAATGATTGTAGCAAAAATACTCTCATTTCAGAACCAATGGCTGGTATCATCCATTTGAGCACACTAGGGATATATGTGTCCCCGATAGGCAATGACAAGGAAGGTTTTTGAAACAAACTAAAGAACATATGCATACCTGTACTGTATATACTTTAGGGTTATTATTGTTAGGCATTTAGGCATTTTTGTCGGTTCCGGCAAAATAGCCTCATTAGCGCTATTTTGCCGGCTTCAGCAAAAACAAGCGATTTATATAGAGTTTTGCTATTTTGCCGGTCTTCATTCAGAAATTTTTCAGATTTTCAGTATTTCAATTAGGAATAAAAAGGAATATAGAAACATACACTTTAAAAAATGTTACAAAACTTGCCTTGCTTTTTGGGCATTTTTTAGTTTGCACAAGAAAGATACTGCCACTGCAGACATGAACTGCACATAACACTTTTGCGTCTGCATCACTTTTGCAAAAAAATCAGATATATACATTCCATAAACTTTTATAAAATGATGCTGTCAATACATAGCCATGCATCGTCAGTACAATAATAGCTTTATAATATTCACTAGTTACTGCTACATGTACACGTAATTTCATGAGTGAATTGGCCAATTGTCAATAAACCACACAATGAAGACAAAACCAGGACTAAAAGAGTACGGACATCTAGCCATACGTATCATTTGTGCATAGATAACTTCAATAAAAAGTTTATTTCTGCAATAAAACCGGCAAAACAGCAAAACTCTATTTAACCGGTAAAATAGAATCTAAGAAGCTATTTTGCAGGCTCCGGCAAAATAGCTACTGCCTATAGTTTAAGCAAATAAGGCACAACATTATGAAGCTTGTAATTTTTTTCTGAAATTCTTTAGAAATATTGCAGACACTAAAATGAATGTGTTTACGGTTACAGAAAATCTGTGTCATATAGGACAACAGATAGTTTATTTCTTTATATTTCTAAAATCCTATTGATGGCCATATTTAAATGCGAATTAGCACTAGTCATTTTACTTGTCATGAACAACACGAGATTCCAAAAATAGAGCAGGAACCCTTATGGATTATCCTGAGTTCTTCCAAAATTTTTGTCTCTTTTGGGGGGCATGCAGCTGACTGTCCTTTCAAATTTTGATTTTGATATTTGATTTGATATCTTCTTACTTTTTTATCTTCTTTTGTAGAATGTGCGTACCGACCCACAAAGCAGCCAACATTGTGGTGGTGGTAAGACGTAAATACTACATGGAAGTTCTAAAGAATAAAATTATCAATTCTTTTACATCCAGGTCTGTGTGCTCTACATAGAGTCAAACAGTAAACAATCATACCATTGCCACATCTCAGCTTAATGCCTCCTCTAACAAATTTGAAGGGCCCTACTAAAGATACCAAAGGGACATTCAAACTCATAAGTCGAAAATAAACTGACAACGTCATGGCAAAAAAATACCAAAAGACGCAAAAAACAGTACAAAAAAACAACTTGGAAAACTAAAGACTGAACAACACGAACTACACAAAAAAACCGATAAATATCTCATCTCAGCCTCTTTTGTTCTACAAATAATCTCTCAGTACTGTTAACTAGTTCCTTAACTACTTTCAAAGACCTTATAATTAATTTTTGTCATAAAGCATATGAAAATAATGGAAAACTATTTTGTTGTTTGAAAAACCTTATTTGCTGCAACTCATATTTAACGTTCTTGTTGTGCAATGAAAAAGTTAATATGTTAGATATACTTACTGGAATTGTGATGAGATGATTAAATATAAAGCTGTAACTGTTCTCCTTTACAACATCTATGAACGTTTTGGCAATTATGTTTATCAAGTGATCTGGGGATTCCGATGAGCGCCAATTGCGCCCCTTAATAATATACTTGTTCCCGTATTGTTGTGAATCACAGTGTATGGCCTAACTTAGAACAGACTCACCTAAATTCTATTTAATTGATAAATTCCACTTACCGTTATCTTGATATTTTTTCGTTAAATAACTAGAAATTTAATCAAATATATGCATGCATCACCCGTCATGACAATCCACACTCAGTCAAAATGTAATAATCGGGAATAGGACATAATCGATAAAATTACAGATCAGACGACTATTCTGGTATCTAAAGATCTAAGACCGCGAAAACATGTCGATAGTGAGTTGAGACACCGACAGGTCAACCAATTCGTGATGGCAAGCTAAGTATGTAAAAAAATGTAGAAATATTAAGGGCTTGATGACCAAAATGACCTTAAAGTGACAAATAAATTAAGGTCAATTTTGCCTAAGATAGTTGAAACCTTAGTTTCTTAGAAATTTTTCATCAGATTGTATTTGTTGTTTTTCACTTTAAACTTAATACGATACATGTATTAATCCCACCATGAAATCACCGTAATGCTCTTTTGTTATGTCATTTTTTTTACTTTTCTAACAAGTATAAGCTTTTGATTTCTTTATCACACTAGGTTACAGGTAAAAATTCATATATGTGTATTTAATTGTCCTACTGGATTTTCGCTCTGTCTTGTGACTTTCAGTTCCTGGTGTAAAACTCAGATAAAGCTCTAGTAAATATAGATGTTTATTCTTGAAATCAACAATATAAAGTAATAAATCAATTGTTCCACAATATATTAGCAGTTTCACTTGATTCTTAATTAACAATTTCAAAATAAGAACAACCAAGGGTCGTAACTCTCTATGCCCAATTTAACCATTTAATGAATACTTGCCCAAAATTCTATCTTATAAAGTGAAACAGCTTTACATGATTTTAGGAATTATTTAATACATCAAGAGCAGTATTTGAAACAAACCAAATCTTATCTAATCAATTTCAATTGTTTAAACATATAACTGGTTGCTACGGAAATGATAAATAAAGCATTAAAACAAATAGATATATGCTTTATTATTTCCTTAAACCAAATCGCATGAAATGTGACACCTAATTTTTATATACTTTCCAAATAAAATAAAAGAACAGAGTTCCAATGTCCCTTGCGTTGCACATACTTTATCTGTCCAGGGGCAATAACTTAACATTTTTTTGTGGTTCTTTTAAACTTTTTATAAATATCTTAGAGAAATGTAGGCATGAGATCGATTGCAATATTTCTATTTCCAAGGGGCAAAACTTCTGTAAAAATAGTTGGTCAGCACTCTTCCAAAACCTTGCTGTTATAAGTCTTTGGTATAAACTTAAAAATTAAACATATAAAATGTATGTGTGGGAGTGCTTACAATGCAATGTTCAATATACTGTTTATAAACTTTCAATTTTTCGAAATACTAAGGATTTTCTACTCTAGGAATACATGTATATTATCTTAGCTGTGGCAAATACCTTTGGGAATTTTGGGTCCTCAATGCTCTTTAACTTTGTATTTTATTTGGCCTTTTAGACTTTTTTTATTCGAGCGTTACTGATGAGTCTTTTAAGGACGAAATGCGCGTCTGGCGTACAAAATTGTAATCCTGGTACATTATCTACGATGAGTTTATATACAGTACATTTCATAGTGACACATCTCCTGTAAAGATAATAGATCAGCGCTGATTATGAAACTCACCCGAGAAATTGTTGATAAACACCTTTGATATACATTTCAAAACAATCCTACAAGAAATGTTGGAGTGAGAGTGCTTACAATTCAATTTTCTAAGGGATATCACTCCTGAAAGAATAATTGATCAGTGCTGATTTTTAAACTTGTTCCAGATATTGTTTATATAAACCTTTGATATAAATTTCATTAATATTTACCAAGAATTTTACACTTGACAGCACTTTCAATGCAATTTTCTATAGAATTTACTTTTCTAAGGAACATGACTCCTAAAAAAAAAAAAGATAAGTGCTGACCTTTCAAATTGTCCCAGACATTACCGATATAAACCTTCGATATAAATTTCCTAACAATCCTTCATGCAATATATGCTTGAGAGCAGTTACAATGCAATTTTTTCATATTATTAATATTTCCAAGGGGAGCATTTCTTTAAAAAAAGTAAAATAACAAAAACACCGAACTGCAAGGAAAATTCAAAACTGAAAGTCCTTTATCAAATGGCAAAATCAAAAGCTCAAACACATCAAACAAATGGAAAACAACTCTCATTATCCTGACTTGTTACAGGCATTTCCTTATGTAGTAATTGTGTAAGTAGCGGATCTGCAAATTTTATATTGTAATTGATCTACTAATATGATTTTTCTAAATGTTTTTTGTAAACATGTTTTTTTTTAAAATGCAGCATTTATTACACAAGACTTTGTTTCATTTAATAATAATGACAATACTTTGTTCCATAAGCAAATACAGCTTTTAAGATACATACACATAATGATAATAATTTCATATGCACCAATAATAGGCCGATGAATTTTAAATTTACAAAATATTCTCGAGTTACACAATATATAAATATAAAAGTGTACATGAAAAACAATATAATACATAATAAAAAATACGTAATACGAGGGGAGAATGACATACATTGTGTACTTTCATAAACACAATATTTGAGAACAAATATACTATATACATGAAATTAAATTCTAAGTGTTTTTTAATTACTGTTTTTAAAAATATACCTAAATTATTCAATTCTTTAATATTTCTGACAGATAACAAACTGGATACGTTTGTGTGCAGATGAATTTCTCCAATAATAATTTTTAATATACTTTTCACGAATTTGACTATATTTATGACATTCAAGTATAAAATACCGGTATGCATCTTTAATAGAGCTAGTGTTAGAATTTGAACATAATCAATTATTTTATCAACATTATAATATCTGCCTGTTTCTATCCTTAAATGATGGGTTGATATACGATATTTACAAATGTATGGTGGTTTGTATATATAGATTACAGGTCTATCTAAATAAAATTACAGAGCATGTGTTCTTTACATATAATTTAGTTTATAAATTTGGTTGTACTTGTAGAAAAATTATTTCAAAAGGGATAGCACATCCTAATTTTTACGGACATGTTATTTACCGAACCCGGAAATTTAGATACGATCCGGGTAAACTAATCGATCCTTTAAATAAACTTATTCTAAAAGGTGACAAATTTAACACTGTACTTAGATTGTTAAATATTGTTTTTATTGGTATGAATATTGATTTTGTTGTCAGAAGATTAAAGGCAAACATATTATTGTTATATACACATACATATGCACATTCTAATGGTAATTATTAGAGAAGAGTAAAAATGATCTAAACAAATCTAGATCCTGTTTTGTTAGAGTTGTATTGAAAGAAAAAAAACATCCCCCTCCAACAAGCAACACCCAAGAAGGTGAATGATCAGTTCCGTAGAGATGGGACAAATGTGATTGTTAAACAGGATAAGTTGGAATTCCTGTTTATGGAAGTTAATATATTACTTACATATAGCATTCTTAAGCTGAACGATTTGCTACAAGTTGATTTTATAGAGTACTAATCACTTCGCCATTTTGTTATTCAATATTTGTTTAAAAAATTGCTAGTGGATATTTTCGAAATAATATGATACTTTACATTCACCACCCCAAACATCCGTTGTCCTGCTTCCTTGTGTGTTGTTATCTATCTTAACATGGCACTTTCTGTACTTATTAAGTTCCAATATGGTTGTTATTTACTACAAAGCCCTTTTCCCACTCTCTTCCATTAAAACCAGACCTCTACATTAAAACAATCTTTTCTCTTACCCCCCAGTTTGACATTCATTTAGACATTTTAGTTTGTTATATATTTCTAATTCAATTACACACCACCATTAAAAAGTAAAATCACAAAAATACCGAACTCCGAGGAAAATTCAAAAAGGAAAGTCCCTAATCAAATTGTAAAATCAAAACGAATGGATAACAACTGTCATATTCCTGACTTGGTACAGGCATTTTCTCATGTAGAAAATGGTGGATTAAACTATTTAAATTATTTATTTGTTACAAAAGTATGCATTGTTCAATCACAGTAAATAATCAAAACAAAGTTTTGCATGTTTGAATAAATGCGATGTGCTAACACATATCAAATGGTAATTAGAAAAAAAGGAGCTGATTCAAGTTCTCCTTAGTTAAGTGAAGTCTGGGTGCTGGATTTTCTCGCTGTGTTGAAGACCCATTGGTGGCCTTGGGTTGTTTTCTGCTCTTTGGTCGGGTTGTTGTCTCTTTGACACATTCCCATTCCCATTCTCAGTTTTATTAAGTAATTGTATGCATACGACTTAGGAATTAAGTAAAATCCAAGTTTAAGAAACACTCAAGTTAAGATATTTTATGCATATGGACCCAGATTTCCTGGTAAAAACAGAAATAATGATTTATCTCCACTCGGCATTTACAACTACCAAATAGTTAGATTAAGGCGACATGTGAAGTAGTTTACAGATATTCAAATCTCTTAAATCGAGAAGGAAGAGAAAAATCAAGGTAACAAATAGAAAATGAGGGAATCTAATGAACTCCACAAATAGCAAGACCAGGTGCATTGATTGGGTAATTACATCAATATAAAGTATAGCGTCCTTGGTATCCAATGTGAAATAAGAATTAAACAAATTACAATTCATGAATTCATTCAAGGTAACTTACATAAAATAATTGTTCAACTGTTTGTACTTTGCAACAATTTGTAATATGCCAAACTCAATAAATCATTTTATCATTATGAAATATCAATTCACTTTTTAAAATACAATCATTATTAAATTTTTAATCAATAAATGTAAAACTGTTGACACTGAGGTATACCTTGTCTCTTTGTTGATAGTAAAATGCAAACGCTGAAATTAAAATAGCAATACTTTAACATGTAAAATATATGCAAAAATACAGTCACACAATAAGACAAATACCAAGCCAACATTGACTCACAAGACACTGAATATACAACTTCTTAAAAAACCCTTTTAAATAACTTAAATACAAAAAGTAAAATAACAAAAATACCGAACTCCAAGGAAATTTCAAATCAAAAAGTCACTTATCAAATGGAGAATTCAAAATCTCAAACACATCAAACGAATGGAAAACAACTGTCATATTCCTGACTTGGTACAGGCATTTTCTTATGTAGAAAATAGTGGATTAAACCTGGTTTTAAAGCTAGTTAAACCTCTCAGTTGTATGACAGTTGCATAAAATTCCATTATATTGACAACATTGTGTTATAATCTTAATCACAAAAAACAAAGAAATATGTCTACAAAGAAAAACAAAATGGCATATAGACAAAGCACATAAGCAAAAATGAAAGAAAAGAATACAAAAAATGACCGCAGCACAACAACACAATGGCAGGATGCATAAGTACCGTGCCACGCCAAAAGGATATAACCAAAAATGGACTAAACAGTAAAGGTTAATAATTTATAAAGACAAATAAAAGAACAATATAAGACGTAATTAAAAGATGATAAACAACGTCAGGACTTAGAATCTATACTTCAAGACCATCATGTATTATTTTTGAAGTTGATACAGTATATTTATCAACAAGGTCTTGGTATCTTTCGATGAACTTTTTTTTAGAAAAAGGTTGAGACGTTCTTTGACATAACCCTGGTTCATCAACCTTCTGTTTAGACACTGGTGATGTTTTATAAAGTCTGAGTAGCAGCTGCAAGCTCTTGAATACCGAATGAGTTGGGAAATGTTTATCCAATATGCAGGTGAAATTGGTATATTGCTACTAAGGTGGAGGAAATTGATAATTTCAAAATTAAAATCGTCTCGTTTGTCATAGATTCTGGTACTGAGATGAAGGCTTGTGTCAAATTCGGGATATAAGTCTAAACATGAGACGGAGGAAGCCGTGTCTGTTGTTTCCTTAGTTTCTAGTTCTGGAAGATATATTAATGGAACCCAATCAGAAAAAGTTTGGATTGTTAATGGAAAGAACATCATCAATATATCTTAATGTAAAATTAAATGATCTGGCTTCTTTGATCTTGTTTTTTAAAAGTGTCTGACGGAACTCCGACTCATATGAAAAAAAGAGGTCGGCAAGGAGAGGCGCACAGTTTGTTCGCATAGGAAGCCAACAATTTTTTAAAAAGTATACCACCAAATTCAACAAATATGTTGTCAATAAGAAACTAAATATAAATATCAATAATGTTAAACATGAGAATTATGTCACATTAAAAATTGAAGAACCTTAGTGAGCGCGCTCACATACCCCACGTCCCCGCAATTGTTATTGGAGAAATAAAATAAGTGTAAGGAAAAAAAATTGTATCAGAAAAAAAAATTGAATCATAATTTCCTGTCAATATGCACATCTACACAGTATGTCCTTATTATTTGAAAAGGTTTTATGAAATTCTGTTGTGTGGTTTGAGAGGAGTTGCGATGACAAAAGGTTGCAGTAGTATATTGGGCAAATAAGTTCAAAGGGGCGTAACTCCTGGAAAGAAAATTGAATCGTAATTTCCTGTCAATATGCACATCTACGTAGTATGTCCTTATTATCTGAAAAGGTTTCATGAAATTCTGTTGTGTGGTTTGAGAGGAGTTGCGATGACAAACTGTTGCAGTAGTACATTAAAGTAAAGAAGTTCAAGAGGTTTGAGAGGAGTTGCGATGAAAAGAAACAGGACTGACGGACTGACGGACGGACAGACGGACGGACGGACAGACGGACGGGTCAAAAACATTATACCCTCCGCAACTCGTTGCGTGGGGTATAATAATGAAAATGTAAGGACTTAAAAATAAAACAGCAATATAGAGTATGGGCTTAAATAAAAAATATTTAAGGTTAAAAAAGTTACAAGCTTTTTTCATTTTCTTAATCTTTAAAAAAAAAATAGATATTCAAACATAATTTAACTAGAGGCTCTCAAGAGCCTGTGTCGCTCACCTGACTCTACTTTGGTTTTAGAAATCATGTAAAGATAGATAAAAATCATAACAGATACCCAAATAATGATTGAGGCCAAATTTTGATTAATATTGGTCCCATTATTTAATAAAATATCCTGGTGGCCATCTTGAACAGTAAATCGGCAACAAAGTAGCAACACTTGGTCAGCACTTCATAAGGAACATTCATGCCATGTTTGGTTTCATTCCATTCAGTGGTACTCTAAAAGAAGACATTTGTATGTATTTCCCATAGGGTCCTATGTTAAACTAAGCCCCCCCCCCCCCCTAGCGGCCATCTTGGATGATGGATCGACTGCAAAGTAACAACACTTGGTCAGCAACTCATAAGGAACATTCATGTCATGTTTGGTTCAAATCCATTCAGTGGTTCTCTAAAAGAAGACAATTGAATGTATTTCCCATAGGGTCCTATGTTAAACTAAGTCCCCCGCTGTCGGCCATCTTGGATGATGGATCGGCTGCAAAGTAACAACACTTGGTCAACATCTCATAAGGAACATTCATGCCATGTTTGGTTCCGTTCCATTTTTTGGTTCTCTAAAAGAAGACATTTTTATGTATTTTCCAAAGGGTCCTATGTTAAACTAAGTCCCCGGCTGGCGGCCATCTTGTATGATGGATCGGCTACAAAGTAACAACACTTGGTCAGCATTTCATAAGGAAGATTCATGCCATGTTTGGTTTCATTCCATTCAGTGGTTCTCTAAAAGAAGACATTTGTATGTATTTCCCATAGGTCCTTTGTTAAACTAAGTCCCCTGCTGTAGGCCATCTTGGATGATGGACAGACTGCAAAGTAACAACACTTGGTCAGCACCTCATAAGGAACATTCATGCCATGTTTGGTTTCATTCCATTCAGTGGTTCTCTAAAAGAAGACATTTGTTTGTATTTCCCATAGGGTCCTATGTTAAACTAAGTCCCCCGCTGTCTGCCATCTTGGATGATGGATCGGCTACAAAGTAACAACACTTGGTCAGCACCTCATGAGGAACATTCATGCCATGTTTGGTTTCATTCCATTCAGTGGTTCTTTAAAAGAAGACATTTGTATGTATTTCCCATAGGGTCCTATGTTAAACTAAGTCCCCCGCTGGCGGCCATCTTGGATGATGGACCGACTGCAAAGTAGCAACACTTGGTCAGCATCTCATAAGGAACATTCATGCCATGTTTGGTTCCATTCCATTCAGTGGTTCTCTAAAAGAAGACATTTTTATGTATTTCCCATAGGGTCCTATGTTAAACTAAGTCCCCCGCTGGAGGCCATCTTGGATGATGGATCGGCTACAAAGTAACAACACTTGGTCAGCACCTCATAAGGAACATTCATGCCATGTTTGGTTTCATTCCATTCAGTGGTTCTCTAAAAGAAGACATTTGTATGTATTTCCCATAGGGTCCTATGTTAAACTAAGTTCCCTGATGGCGGCCATCTTGGATGATGGATCGGCTACAAAGTAACAACACATGGTCAGCACCTCATAAGGAACATTCATGCCATGTTTGGTTTTATTCCATTCAGTGGTTCTCTAAAAGAAGTCATTTGTATGCATTTCCCATAGGGTCCTATGTTAAACTAAGTCCCCCGCTGGCGGCCATCTTGGATGATGGATCGGCTACAAAGTAACAACACTTGGTCAGCACCTCATAAGGAACATTCATGCCATGTTTGGTTTTATTCCATTCAGTGGTTCTCTAAAAGAAGTCATTTGTATGCATTTCCCATAGGGTCCTATGTTAAACTAAGTCCCCCGCTGGCGGCCATCTTGGATGATGGATCGGCTACAAAGTAACAACACTTGGTCAGCACCTCATAAGGAACATTAATGCCATGTTTGGTTTCATTCCATTCAGTGGTTCTCTAGAAGAAGTTCAAAATGTAAAAAGTTAACGCCGACGACGGACGACGCCGGACGACGCCGGACGACGCCGGACGACGACGGACGACGGACGACGGACGCCAAGTGATGAGAAAAGCTCACTTGGCCCTTCGGGCCAGGTGAGCTAACAATCAAAAGGAAAAAAAAAATATTTAAACTTCAAAATCATATTACCAAAATTGTACAAAATTCCTCAACCTCACTTAGTGATTAAGATAATAACACGATGTTGACTGCTGTACCCCTATTTTTTACATTTCTACCTATTAGTCTGTTTGTTTTGTTCACACATCGTTGTCAATATAATGGAATTTTATCCGACTGTCATACAAGTGAGAGGTTTAGCTAGCTATAAAACCAGGTTCAATCCACCATTTTCTACTTGAGAAAATGCCTGTACCAAGTCAGGAATATGAGAGTTGTTCATGTGTTTGAGCTTTTGATTTTGCCATTTGATTAGGGACTTTCCGTTTTGAATTTTCCTCGGAGTTCAGTAGTTTTGTGATTTTACTTTTTAGCTTTGTCTTAAAGCTTTAATTTGAAACATCCTCTGTATAAATAAACTAAATAAAGTAAATCAAATTAAATATATTCTGGTAAATGTATATTGCAAACATAAAATATTGATATGCTATGATGAATGTACAAATAAATGTTTATTAGAGAGTCACTTTCCATGAATCACTTTCAGACGAGTGTTATGTTGTGATCTTATGCCCATATAATATGCAATAAAGACTATTTAATCATAATTGCAGATATTCAAGGAGATACTATCAAAATATATGTATGTGGAAATGGGTGTACTGTATATTTCAGTTGTTATAGTAAAAGTATTAATTACAAAGGACACAATTCTAACATAACATTATTATTATCATTTTTTTTAACTAACAAATTAATAAAAACAGGAAATCCATTATTTGCATGACTATAATTTCTTACTGTAATTCTGTCCCAATATAGTTATTTACAATTTCTTTTTTCAGCAGCATTCATATTGGATATTGTCTGTATCAAGTCAATGGTAATCTTTTTCTTATATGAATATGATACATAATCTTCTTCTATAAATACAATCAAAGGAATATGATGATCTTCTCTTTAATGTGGTTGAACATTCATTTGATGTTCAAGTTCGATTTCAATTCCCATTTCTGAAATTATAATTAATCATCACCACACTGTAACATGATACTACTCCAATGCCTAGAATTTATGGTAAATATTGACTAGGGGTTGTCCTTGGAAAGGTTATATGTTGTATTTAATGCATCTGGTCAAGAGTGATTAGTTTATGTTTGAATTTATGTTGACAGTCTTAAAGATAAAGGTTTCACTGCAAGTAAAACCTAAACTTAACATTATCGGAGCTCCATGTAAATGAGGTCAAGGTCAGAGGAACCTTTCCAGATGTACATGTACACTTTACAAATATTGCGTACACAAAAATATAGTTGACAGAACGCTTACAGTATCTGAGAAAAAGACCAAACCATAACTTAACATTGAACAATTGCAATGAACCATGAAAAAGGTCAAGGTCAGAGGAAACTTACCAGACGAAAATTTACACCTTTTAATCATTCCATACACCAAATATGGATGACCTATTACTTAAAGTATCTGAGATACGGACTTGACCAAGAGACCCTTACATTGTTCACAGATCCTTTAAATTTGGTCAGGGTGAAGTGATTCCCGTCTGACAGACATCTAGACATTGAAAGATCCAATAAACCAAACATATTTATCCTATGACTCATTATTATTGAGAAACTCACGGATAAAAAATCTTAACAGTTTTTTTTAGCACTTGCTGAACAATAGAAATGAGGACATGGACAATAGACATATAACAGACGGAATATGGCAGTTGTTATCAAATAGTTCGTTTCTATGTATGATGGCGTTTATTATTGTTGCACTTCAGTGTTCCTGTTGTTCCTTTGTTTTCCTCTTATAGTTGATGTGTTTCCCTCGGATTTGTTTTCGCTCAATCGATTTATGACTTTTGAACAACGATATACTACTGTTGCCTTTATTTAGTCTTAGATACATGATTTTTTATGAGTAATTATTGACTTTGAACTAACTAAGCTTTCAGCAACTGCGAGTACTCTCAAGGTTTCATATATTTAATGCCTTTTCAATTTAATTGTATTTTCTATAACTTGCATATGAACTTTACCTGCACGATACTTATTTTGTATTTGATGCTTCACATCTTTTACTTCCTCTTCAGAAATCGTTTTGGCCAAAATTTTATTCATTTGGTCCGTATACAATTCTGGAGATGGCTGATTATGTTGATCAAATCGTTTCAATATATCAACTATAATACCACACAACTCATTGTAGCGTTTATCTTCAAGGATAAATTCACTGGAGTGCAGTATTTCATTCCTTGTAAGTCGTATGCGCTCAATATCATCGCCAATAGCCAAGTCTGTTTTCTGAATATCTTGCCATTTACCTCCCCATGGTCCCCATCGGCGGTTGCTAGAATTACTAGGAACATTTTTATTCAACTTCCTGAGCAAATCATACAGGTATGTTATGTCACTTTCACTCCTAGGACGCATATTTGTTGTGTCTTTTTTCAGCAAATCATATAAAACGCTTACAAGAACATTCAGTACAATCATCCCCATCTTTGCAAAATTAATCTCTTCCTTGGAGAACTAAAAAGAAAACAACAACATAACATTAGTCTCATTTCCAAAGGACAAGATTCACTTTTGGCATTTATATGGCCTTGAATTTGAACTTAAGCATAAACTTTTAAAAAGACCATAATTCTAGAACGAATCTATTTCAAAAAGCCTTATTCCTAAGTTAAACATATCTCTACATGATATTGTATTTTAGGCTCTCAAGTCAGCACACTTTAAAGATCTTGTCAAAATACAATGATTTTGTGCATTTTTCAGACCTAAAAGCTTTAAAAAATCCTTGGCCGCAACCTTCAATCAAACATATTCTGTAACTAATTAAAATTATGGAACGTCAAAACTGTCTTGTTATGCCCATTTTCATTATATGATGTGCGTTTACCTTTATATGATGTGCATTTGTCATTATATGATGTGCAAACTAACATCCTTATATGATGTGCAAACTAACATCCTTATATGATGTGAAAATATACTAATATGATGTGCAAACATCCTTATATGATGTGCAAATATACTTATATGACAAATGTATGATGAGCAAATGAACTTATATGATGTGCCAGATTCTTATATGATGTGCAAATATACTTATATGATATGCAAATATACTTATATGATGTGCCAATATCCATATATGATGTGCATTTTCCTTTATATTATGTGCAAATATCTTTATATGATGTGTCATTATATTATGTGCTTGTAACATTATATGATGTGGTTCGGTTTAATTCATTATATGAAGTGCTTTCATCGTTGTTATGGTCAATGAACATGATTACGATTAGAACGATTACTGTCTACATCATAACTGATTACGATCTGCTTCGCCGGTTCAAATCTGAAGCTTTCTGGACCTCTCAGAGAGTGATTTCAAAGCTTTGTTAACGTGCAGAGGCCATTGCATTCTCTTAACACAAAGCATCAGGTTTAACATCCCCATTCCGACCAGTCGTTGCTGCTTATTTTTACATCCCGAACAGCCAAATAGAAGCCCCACTTTAGCAAGGGAACAGAAAAGTCCTAGGGATGACCATATTTCTATACCACTGCCAACGATTGGGATGCTATCAACAAATAGTATGATTTCATTAACTGAAGTATTCTCATTGAGGTACAATATGTTTGTATTGTGTTTTTGCTACCATTAAGACCAGCATTATAGAGTAAAGTTTCTATAGCTCACCAGGCATTTTTGCCAGAACTGAATTGAATACAATGAAAAAAAGATGACTTTTTACCCGTATGTTCTTTTGTTAGCTATTGTGGCCTTATTGGCCACTGAATTAAAAAAAACCACACACATGCTTTATACTATATACCAAAAGGATCATTCACCCAAAGTTTTGTTAAAATTGGTTCATTAGTTTCAGAGATCTTTGAGACAGTATATGACCGACACAAAAATAAGTCAGAATTTGAGTTTAATGTAAAAATAAGAAGATGTAGAATAACAACTCTTCACCAGAGACCAAATGACATAGAAGTTTAAGGCTATAAATCTTCACGAAGAAGTTTAAGGCTATAAATCTTCACGAAGTCATCCCAATGTTTAAGTTTGTAAATGCAACTTAGTAGATCTTGAATTTCTAATTATGTTTGCTGGTTACAGGTTCTACTTTATTTATTATAATTTCGAGATAATATGTAAAAACACTAAAATTAGTCGAAAATCATCATTTAAGGACAATAATACTCCTTTACCGAGTCATCCAGTGTTTTCAGTCATATTGGCATTTTTGTAGATCATATATTACTGCTTTTGTTTTGTCTTCAAAAACAAACATGGGAATACATCAAAAATCATTATTTAAGGGCTATAACTCATTAAGACTTCATCTAATAATTTTGTTTAAAATAGAATGTAAGTAGATCTCGACATTTTGAGCAATTTTAGCCAAACAAATTTTCTCTATCCATTATAAGGTATTGATTTCTGTGTTGTTTTTTGTGGATAATAACTTCTCTTTGTTTTATAGCCGTAATTGTCATTTTTTCAACTAACGTTTTTTTTATTATCAAATTGGTTTGTTACTTTTTTCTCACTAACTCCTCTAAGATACTATATTTTTTATTAATGTATCAAATAAACTTAACTCTATAGTGACTCTCATGACATTCATACCACTTCTCCTTTTTCTATATCAAAACTTGTAATGGTGATTCAAAACATGCATTGGAGAAAGGAAATTTCAAACTCACAACTGAATTAATCATGAAAGTTTTGATTTAGTATTCAATCCTTAGCAGATTAAATAATTTTAAACTTTGATAATATTGTTGAATGACATACCCCTGTCAAACTGCCTGCTTTTGGTGATTCTTCTGATATATTTGATACTACACTCATACCTTCCTGGAAAATGACTTTCAACTGAAATTTTAAAAAGTATGTCCATAATTATAAAAGAACAAGTTTTTTACAGGATAAGACAATGCATTTTATTTTTTTTATTTCCTCCTTCAGAAATTACGGATGAAACTGTAATCATATACTAGTAGATATCATTACATTCGTTATTTTCTTTTAGTTTTCTGTTAGAACCTAAAGAAATCTATCAACTTCCATCATTATGACATTTCATCAGTAATTTGTTGTGAATATTGCTTCCATAGTTATTAAAAATTACCATGTGTTCTGAAAAGAACACTGAAATGTATTTATTAGATGAGTTCAATTTTTAAAAACATGATATTGAAGGGACATAATCAAAGATACTGTTGTAAATAAAAATATATGACTGAATGTAAATTATTTCCCTTTAATACCAGCAGATCAGTAATTACTATGGAAACTATAGTTGATCTAGTGATCACAGGAATCCCCACCCCCAGCAACTGCCAGAGATCAATATTTTTTTCAGTGGTCAAAACCATTTCAATTAATTTCAATCTATTTCAAAAAGTAGTTCTCTATTTATTATCTGATAACCACAAATTATGAATTTTTTGAACAATTAAGTACCAATGAACTCTGGAATGTCATTCAATGGTAAACATGAAAACGATAAAACTCAAATGTATCATCTACAATCAACAGAAGTTTGAATTTGCCCAAAAATCAAGAACCATAACTGTGGAATAGTAAAGTGAAAACAATGAAAATCAAGTTTTGATCTGTGTTAAGTGGTCCTGAAAACGAAGTAAATCAAACAAAAAATGTCATCCAGAAACCACAAAACCTTTTCTTTTTAGCCATGGCTTTGTCAGTTTATTTTCGACTTGTGAGTTTGATTGTCCCTTTGGTATCCTTCGCCCCTTTCCTTCCTTTTTTTTTGTTATTCTGAATTTCCCCCTCTTATATTACATCAATGAATTTTATGACAATAATGATCAAAATATTATATATTTTATTTGTAAATTAAATTAATATAGCTATACATGTAATATCGCCATGAAATGTCCGGAGATCATGATTTTATGACAATTATGATCCAAATATTATATATTTTATTTGTAAAAATTAATTATATAGCTATACATGTAATTTCGCCATGAAATGTCTGGAGATCATGAAATTGATCAGACATATTCACCTACTATACATGAAAAAAAATGTATTCATAAATTTCCCGTATGACGAAGGCCCCTGCAAAAGACAGTTATTGTTTACCCTAAACCGGACCACCTTGAATACCCTCCCCCTCCCTTTGTTTCTGTACTCATGTATATTTATTGAAAAAATCAATTTTACTTTTGAGATCTAAACTATAATGAAGTGTTTGAAACTGTTCATTAAAAGATAAATACATTGAAAAGAAACAAATGTAATTCGTATTTTTGGCTTTGAACTAGCTGTCAGCAACTGCGAGTTGTCTCATATCTGTACTTTGTGTCTGCCACGTCCGGTCTGTGTTTTTGTTAGATGTTTTTCTGCTTTGTTTCGTTAAGCCCTTTTCAACTAATTTTTTTAGTTTGATCTTATGTTGTACTGTTACACCACTGTCACAGTTAAGAGGAGGGTTGGTGTCTTCAAACATGTTTAACCCCGCCACATTCTATATTTGCATTTCTATAGTCAGGAGCCTGTAGTTCCGTGGTTGTCGATGGTTCCTGTCTGTCAAAATTGTTTTTCCTAAATGTTTTGTTATAAATTAATTTGTTAGTTTTCTCAATTGAATTGTTTCATATTTCTCATGTCGGGGCCTAAATGGATAAAAATCATCATTCAGGGGAAAAAACTTCTATAAGGAATCAGTTGACAATTTCATCCATTTTTGATGTATTAGTAGATCTTTTTTGCAAAACACTTTTGCTTCTTACAATTTTTAACTCTATCTATTATAGACTCTGAAAAAACACAAAAGGTAACACTAATCTTTCAAGGGTAATGAATAAGACGTCAATGGACTTATCGTCCATGTTTAGTTATTTGTAGATCATATTTTGTTCAACATTTTTACCTTTGAAAGATTGATTCTCTTAATCATCTATGGTTTCCTGAAAAGATGCAGCTTGAGGCTCTAAAGAGCCTGTGTCGCTCACCTTGGTCTATGTGCATATTCAACAAAGGATACTCTCCAACATTGTAGACGAGAATAGAATTCATGATACAAATTTCTTTTTTGTTGATCTTGTATTTCAAATCATTTAGTCTGTTTACCTTCTCTCGAAATTCTTTAGTTTTTGTTCAAAACACAAAAGAGGGTTAAAAAAAATCCTCATTTAAGGGCAATAACTCCTATAAAAAGTGAGTCTACTTACTATATCGTCAAAATTTGACTTGTTAGTAAATCTTCCCTTGCTGATCATTTTTATGATGTAAAGTGTCTGTTTATCTATTATAATTATAATCATATAAGGAAAAATGCAAATAAAATGTTAAAAATAGTCAATAAAAGGCAATAACTCTAACTAGGAGTCGACTGACGATTTCGACCATCCAGACTTATTTGTAGAACTTGTCTTGTTGATCATTTTGCAGTTTAAAGTTTCTCTCTAGCTATTATAGTTTTCAAGATAATAGGCAAAATGGAAAAAAATGGTAAAATTACCATATATATATATATATATATAACTCATATAAGAACTCGCCTGAGTTTATACGTACATGAACGATAGTTGAATTCAACATTAGGAACATTTATGTTCCTGTCAGATTTTCTCTATTTATAACGTTATTCATAATTATAGACACAACTTGCATTTTACCCCTATGTTCTACTTTTAGCCATGTCGGCCATCTTGGTTGGCAGGCGGGGTCATCGGGCACACTTTTTAATTTATATACCCCAATGATGATTGTGGCTAAGTTTGGTTAAATTTGGTCCAGTAGTTTCAGAGGAGAAGATTTTTGTAAAAGTTAACGGACAACGAAGATGAAGAAGACGACTGACGATGGACGCCAAGTGATGAGAAAAGCTTATTTGGCCCTATGGGCCACATGAGCTAAAAAAGGGTAAAAATCATCATCAATTGACAATAAATCCTATAAGAGTCATTTAAAGATTTCTGCCAAGTTGACTTTTTTTGAAGATCTTCTTGTTCTGGTAATTTTTACTGTTCAAAATATCTCTCTATCTGTTAATCACGTTAATAGTTTTCAAGATAATAACAAAACAAAGAAATTTTCAAAAAAAATTACATCTCAGAGGCAATAATTCCAAAAAAAGATCGTCAATTTGAAATTCCCTAGAAACTTTGACTGCTTATCAATTCTACCCAGTCACATTTGCTCTAACTATTTTAGTTCTTGAAATATAAGCCAAAAAATGCAGTTTACTCCTATGTTCTTTTTTTTAGCAACAGCAGTCATGTTTGTTGGTGGATCAAATTCTCGGACTCAGTTTTAAAGTAAATGACATAAGGAACATTATGGTAAAGTTAGGTAATATTTTGTCCAGTAGTTTCAGAGAAGAAGCTTTTTTAAAAGGTTTACAATGATGGATGGACAGACAGACTGACTACAAAGATGATGGACGCTAAGTGATGGCAAAAGCTTACATTATGGGTTTTGAGGATAGGTGAACTTAAAACCTGCTACCACCTTTTTATCAGAATCTTGAACCCATCATTGAAAATGATACTTAATTCATCTTATATGTAAATGATAACCAGTCTGGCCATACCTTTGTGATAGAAGAAGAATTGACACTTCTAGATCGATCAGCTAATGTTGGTCGGACTACCCTGCTAACAACTTTATGTTTTTTCTTGGCTGGTCCAGCTTCTTCATCAATTTCTCTAAGTCCAGCAAGTAATTTGCCTCCAGATTTCTGAGAAAAAAACCATTCCAGTATAATAATCCTAATATTTCTAAAAGCTGAAAATTTTCTTATGATTAAAGCTGAAATTCTCGCATAAACAACTTTTCACGAATAATGCAGTAAGATAAAAATTAATCTTTTAATCATGTATTACTACACTGTGGATACTAATAAGTTTGATGACCTTATACATTCAGAGATGAGTAATAAAAGCTTCATTGATCAGTCTATCATCTTTCTAAAAAATTCTGACGAAAATTATACCTACAAAATGATGGGTACATGGAACTCTTTTTTTTTTTTCTCTTGTCTAACAAATATTAAATTTGATGCAGTTATCAAATATAATGTCCACGCTTTAAATGAGTTATTGTCCATAAATGACGATTTTTACCAACATTTTGTGTTTTTGTCTAATTTCTTGAAAACTATTATTAATACAGAAAAACTCTAAATGCAAAAATGATCAGTAAGATAAGATCTAAAATAAGTCAAGATGTCCGAGAATGTCAGTCGACTCATTATGTAACTAAATAAATTTTATCAATTCTTAGGGCCATGTGAGCTATTGTCATCCCTTGGCGTCTGTTGTTGGCAATTTTCAAAGATCTCCTGTTTAACAACTGAACCAATTCCAGCCAAACTTTAAGCAAATAATCCTTAGGGTACGTAGTATGAAAATTGAGTTTCCCCCCGGTAAATCAACAAACATAGCTGCCATGGCTGAAAATAGAACATATGGCTAAAATGCATTTATTGTTTTATAACTTAATAAAATGTTCCGCTGCGCGCAAGCTTGATACGACCGCTGAGGTCGAACGCTGAACAGTTGAGCAAGTATGGACACAACATTTAAGCTTAAAACAGCTCTGAATTTTGATTGTGATTGAATATTTGACACAGCATAGGTTTGTGACACAAAATAAATGATGTCAAAGAACCAAAAAATTTGAAATTGGACATTTACCTATTATGGTCCAATATCCAAATTCGAAGTACATGGTTAGAATCAGCATATCAAAGAATCCCAAGAATTCTTTTTTTGATGAAATCAAACAAAGTTTAATTTAGAACCATTTGGACCTCAATGTGGACCAATTTGATAATGGAGCCTAAAATCCCAAATCTAAATACATGGATAGATTAAGCATTTCAAAGAACCCTAAATATATTCAATTTATGTTGAAATCAAACACAGTTTAATTTTGGACCCCGATTTGAACCAACTTGAAAACTGGGCCCAAAATCAACAAGAGGCTGTCAGAGTGACAGCAAACCGGATTTTCCTGCAGAGGTCGAACCCTGAACAGTTGAGCAAGTATAGACACTACATTTAAGCTTAAAACAGCTCTGAATTTGGATTGTGATTGAATATTTGACATAGGTTTGTGACACAAAATACATGTGGTCAAAGATCTAAAATATTTGAAATTGGACATTTAAATACCTATTTTGGTCCAATATCCAAAATCTAAGTAAATATTAGAATCAGCATATCAAAGAACCCCAAGAAATCAATTTTTGATGAAATCAGACAACAGTTTAATTTAGGACCCTTTGGACCTCAATGTGGACCAATTTGATAAAGGAGCCCACAATCCAAAATCTCTCAATACATGGTTAGATTCAACATTTAAAAGAACCCCATAAATTCAATTTTTGTTGAATAAAATAAAGTTTAATTTTGGACCCTGATTTCGACCAACTTGAAAACTGGGCCCAAAAATCTTATATCTAAATACAGGTTTAGATTCAGCATTTGAAAGAACCCTATATATATTTAATTTATGTTGAAATGAAACACAGGTTAATTTTATCCATAATATTTTCTATGCAAAGGGAAATAACTCAAACTGGATAAATAATTCTCTAAAATAAGATATGATGCAATTTTTCAAATTATAATCAATAATATAATAACAACAACCAATGATGACTAAGTTCTCTAAAATTAGATATGATTTAACACACAAACATTGTTAGAATCAGCATATCAAAGAACCAAAGAATTCAATTTTTTATGTAATTAAACAAAAGTTTAATTTAGGACCATTTGGACCTCAATGTGGTATAATCTTATTAATAATGGAAAGAAATACAGGTTTAGATTAAGTATTTCAAAGAACCCTATATATATTCAATTTATGTTGAAATCAAACATAGTTTAATTTTGGACCCCGATTTTGACCAACTTGAAAACTGGGCCCAAAATCAGAAATCTAAATATATGTTTAATAATAGACAATATAAGCTCAGTTTTAAAGGAGTTCACTTCATCAAAAAAAAATATATAGCATTCGGAAAATTAGTTTTTACAGAATAACAAACAAACTTGCCACAAAATTCTTCAAACAATTTACCAAAGAAAAGAAGAAAAAAAATCCAAAATTTTATTTATAATTAATACAATGTCTTTTCAAAATCTATAAAACTTATCAGTAATGAAGTCTCCCAAACAAAGCTCCAATAATTCGTCATTCCCATGGTCGCCTGACATTGGGCAAAGTCCAGTACAAATTGGTTTGTGATATGCTTAAGTGACGCCTATGGATTGACCCTGTATGTTATTCAAATCTTCTTGAAATTACGAACAGGAATATATTGTTTAGGGCTGGAGATCTAGACCGTTTACAAGTTCTCATAAGGGGGGTTGATCCCCAGGGGACTCGCCCTTTATTTCATCTGATTTGTTTTTTTGTCCCATACAAGAATATACATGGTTTAGTGGTGGGGATCTCGACCGTTTACAAGTTCTTAAACAGGAGGGGGGTGGGGGTGAGCCAAGGGGACTCGCCTAATATTTCATTTGATTTGTTTTATTGTCCCATACAAGAATATATATGGTTTCGGGGTGGGGATCTTGACCATTTACAAGTTTTCAAAAAGAAGGGGGGTGGGGGTTACCCCAGGGGACTTTCCCCTCAATTTCATTTGATTTGTTTTATTGTCCCAAACAAGAATATATATGGTTTAGTGGTGGGGATCTCGACCGTTTACAAGTTCTTAAACAGGAGGGGGGTGGGGGTGAGCCAAGGGGACTCGCCTAATATTTCATTTGATTTGTTTTATTGTCCCATACAAGAATATATATGGTTTCGGGGTGGGGATCTTGACCATTTACAAGTTTTCAAAAAGAAGGGGGGTGGGGGTAACCCCAGGGGACTTCCCCTCAATTTCATTTGATTTGTTTTATTGTCCCAAACAAGAATATATATGGTCTAGGGGTGGGATCTCGACCGGTTACAAGTTATCAAAAAGAAGTGGGGTGGGGGTTACCCCCATGGACTTCCCCTATATTTCATTTGATTTGTTTTATCGTCCCATACAAGAATATACCGTATATGGTTTAGGGGTGGGGATCTCGACCGTTTACAAGTTCTCAAACAGGAGGGGGTGGGGGTGATCCCAGGGGGACTCTCCTTTTATTTCATTTGATTTATTTTATTGTCCCATACAAAATAAAATGCTTCTCGGAGCGCAGCCTGATACGACCGCAGAGGTCGAACCCTGAACAGTTGGTACAAATTTGGACACAATATTCAAGCTTGATACTGTCTGAATTTGGATTGTATCAAATTTTTGACATAATATAGATTTCTCACACAAAATAAATGTGGTCAAAGATCCTACAAATCTATTCTGCAATACTGTGCAATTGAAGATTTCTTCTTTAAACTTTTCAAAAATTCAAAAAAAAATATGAATCGATCCTCTAAAAAAATTGGAAAATAAAATCCCCCCCCCCACTTTTTAAAACCCTCCTTGGAGCAATAACCCCAAAACTCGATCCCAGCCTTTCCTTTGTAGCATGGAACCTTGTAGTACAATTTCAGAGAGATCCTTACACTTAAACACAAGTTATTGTCTGGAAACTAGAAAAATGCTTCTTTTTGGCCCTTTTTGGCACCTTATTCCTACATATTTGGGCAACTAACCCCAAACTCAATCCTAGCCTTCCCTTTGTGATATGGAACCTTGTGGTACAATGTCAGAGAGATCCATACACTTAAACGCAAGTTATTGTCTGGAAACTAGAAAAATGCTTGTTTTTGGCCCTTTTTGGCCCTTTTTTGGCCCTTAATTCCTAAACTGTTGGCCCCAAAACCCCTAAAATAAATCCCAACCTTCTACTTGTGGTATTAAACATTGTCGTACAATTTCAAAGCAATCGAAATACTTATACACAAGTTATTGTCCTGAAACTAGAAAAATGCTTGTTTTGGGCCCCTTTTGGGCCCCTAATTCCTAAACGGTTGTGACCATCATCACTAAAATCAATCAAAACCTTCCTTTTGTGGTATTGAACCTTCTTAAAAAATTTCATAGAGATCAATTCACTTAAACTAAAGTTATTGTCCGTTAACCAATGTGTCTTCGGACGACGACGCAGACGACGAAGACGCAGACGACGACGACATCATACCATTATACGATCCCAAAAAATTTTTTGCGGTCGTATAAAAATATATGGTTTCGCGTATGGGGATCTTGACTGTTTACAAGTTCTCATAAGGGGGGTTGATCCCCAGGGGACTCGCCCTATATTTCATTTGATTTGTGTTATTGTCCCATACAAGAAAATGGTGTAGGGGTGGGGATCTCGACTGTTTACAAGTTCTTAAACAGGAGGGGGTGGGGGTGACCCCAGGGGACTCGCCTTATATTTCATTTGATTTGTTTTATTGTCCCATACAAGAATATATAAAGTTTGGGGGTGAAGATCTTGACCGTTTACAAGTTTTCAAAAAAAGAGGGGTGGGGGTTACCCAAGGGGATTTCCTCTTAATTTCATTTGATTTGTTTTATTGTCCTATTCAAGAATATATATGGTTAAGGGGTGAAAATCTTGATCGTTTATAAGTTTTCAAAAAAAAGAGGGGTGGGGGTTACCCAAGGGGATTTCCCCTTAATTTCATTTGATTTGTTTTATTGTCCTATTCAAGAATATATATGGTTTAAGGGTGGGGATCTTGGCCGTTTACAAGTTTTCAAAAAGAAGGGAGGTGGGG